ACCAAACACTCTTCCTGTAGAATAAAATGCTTAAAGAGACTCATGTGAAGTCTATTGCAGGGATAAAGTTCTTTGCATAGTGCCTGCACTAGACTTTAAAGCTTTATTCAGTGGGCTGGATCTTGTTAAATGGCACCAGCAAGAACATTAATAAAAACAGAGCTTCTGACACCTTGTGGAGAGCTTTGGGGGAGATGTTATTTAAAGCCAGCTCTCCTTCCCAGTGCACATAAATTATGTATTGGTCTCTCTTGCTTCTGCCCTCTGCTGTTATCACTTAAGGGCCATGTGGATGAAACCAAGGCTCGTTTCATATCTAAAACACTAGTGGGATTTTCTTGCTTCCTCACCCATAATCCTAATCCCCTCTGACTTCCCTGTTCCAGTGGCCAAGATTTCAGTTTCATAGACAGGGGGATTATGACAATAGAGAACAGAGACATCAACAGCAGATGAACACTCAGCAGGAAGCATCGAGTTACCACATCAAACTCCCTTGGTGAGTGCCAAGGAGGTGAAGCACGCATAATATCCATAAACCTGGGCTCTTTCCACAGACACAGGCTCTAAGAAAAAAGCACTTTTGTCTTTCCTGAAGGAAGCCTTCCAGTGCCCCCATAGAAGCTTTCCAAGGCTTCCCTCAGGTGTTTTAAATCCTCATTCTCCTCTGCTTCACCCATTATAATGACTATTAGTATTTCATTTTTCTCTCACCTTTATTCTAAGGAACTCATGTTCCTCTCTCAGTTTAGCCAGGTGACAACCCTGTCAAGTAGGTTAGGCTGATGGAAGATGACTGACCAAGGTCACCCAGTCAGTTTCCTACCTGAGTGGACATTTTGAACCCCTGATTGCCCAGCCCTCATCTACCAGTCTACTCATGATACCATCTTGAGATCTACAATAGTACAAAATGAGGAGGAAAGGGGAAATTAACCATTTAGCCCCCTTTTCTCAGCACTATAGCCCTGATCTACATCACCTTTCTTGCTAAAAAAAAGGGGTGTGTGTGGAGTTTCCCTTTTATTGGAAAACTAATCTAGAAAATATATCTGGTTGCTTAAAACCAAATATCTGAGATAGGGATAATCTCAACACTCCAACTCCAGTTTTCCCAGACTTTCAGTCCCAGAACTCCAATGTGATGTGAAGGTTGAGCTCTAGACAATCTCAGGACTTTCAGAATCTTGCACCCGCACATTGTGATGTGTAGTTTGGGCCAACCCATGGCAAAAACGTCTTTGCCGGTATGTAATGTCTGGAATGACCCTAAAACAAGATCACAAAGAAACAATGGACGCTGAACAGAGCAATGTAGAACATGCCAGGCTCAATGCATTACAATCCACAGGAGAAAATCCAACATAATATCCTTTTAAAAAATCTTATTTATAAGGCAGCCTTGTGATTCTTTAAGTAGCACTCACTCTCCTTCTAATTCTGTCAGTTATTGTTGCGATCCAATCCTGTTAATGAGTACCATATGGTGGTACTACAGGATTTCCAGAAGTCCTGCAAGGAGACTCTCTGTACATCTATAATTATGCCCTCTTGCTCTTTGTGTATGCGTAATTCTCTTTCAAATCACACATAATTGTAAATTCCAAGTGTCAAGCTAGAGGCAGGCTGTGCTAGCAGAGGGAAGGCTGAATTTGCAGGGTGGCTTTGCTACCTTTCTGCTTGCTAGCTAGCTAAAGAAACCTTCTAAGAATGAGACCAGAGTGGCCTTCATATTTTCTCAGACACCCCAGTTGAGAGCTGTGGTGTTTGAATGAGGCAATACAGCTGCTTTCTCGAAGCAAGCAAAAGGCCTTAGCTAAGGATAATGTTGACTTTCTTGTCCCTGGTTGTTTTCAAGCTAAAAATACCAGCTTTGCTTCCCCCATTTGTGCAAATTATTTACAACCAAGAGTCCTAATTTTTGACCATGCTGTGTTCTGTGTACTAATTTCTTCCCTTAAAAGGTACACCTTTACCATTATTAGTGACTCATTCAATCGGCATCATAAATCACTGCATTAAAAAAAACTGTACTGCATGCATATAAAATGCCCGCACAATACTAACAAATCAGAAAAAAACCCAAAAATCAGAAAAGAAAAAGAAGAAAAAATGTAAATGGATATTAAAAAGAACATATGCACAGGAGGGGCTATGACTTGGTGTCAGGACCAGTGCTTTGCATACTGAAAGTTCCAGCTTCAACCCTCGGTATGTCTCATTAAAAAAGATCAATTAGTAGGTGATGTGAAAGGCCTCTGCCCAAGTCCTTAGAGAGTCTCTGCTAGTCAGAGTAGACAAGAGTGACCTTGATACCTTAATAGTCTGATTCAGCACAAGGCAGTTTCATGTGTCCATATTCTCATACCTGTCTTCTACATATTATCACAGAAGTAACTAAATAGATGTCTATTAAAGATTATTGAGGAGCTGGGGGGGAAAGAGGTTGCAAGTAAAAAATGGACACTCTGAAAGTATAAAATGGCAAATCTTCTGATTTCTAGAATTGGAGGTGGTCTAGTGAAGGGGATGCCAAGGGACCATTAGTACTTTTTTTCTTCTATTCCTGGAACTGGATGCACTGAGCTACTCTATCACTGTGGGAAAGTGGGTTGTTATCATAGGTGTAACACTATAGACAGACTTTTCCTACTTCCTTGGATGCACCGAGCTACTCTATCACTGTGGAAAAGTGGGTTATCATAGGTGTAGCACTATAGACAGACTTTTCCTACTTCCTTACATCCTCTCAAAGAGAATATTTTTTCAACTGTGTCAGTTTGCATCTTCAAGTGCCAAATGTCCACTCCATGTATTGTCTATTAGGATGGAAATGAGGTCTGGGAACTAGAGTTTCTGGAAGGGGCTTTTAACAGCTCTGTGGCATGCAGAAACTCAGTAGACTGCATCTGGATGTTGGGAAAGTCTCACCAGGTGAATATCTGTCTGCCCCATCCCTTTAAAAAAACAACAACATACACACCTGTTTCCCGTGCCAGGAAAAAAACAAACAAGGCAAAAATAAAATTAATCTTGAATCCACCAGCTTTAAATGTTTTGGAAATCATACCGATCTTCTCTTGCAATTGCCCCGCTGTCATTAGTCAGTGCCACTACTTTGCTATGTATACATTGGAGATTTCAGCCAAAGGACCTCAAACAAACTTAGAGCCCTAAACTGTTCAGGATGGTTACTGTGTACAGCTGTTCCTGAGGTTCAGTGCCTTTGAAATCCAGATGGCCTCCATTTGAGGATTAAGGTTCTGAGCAGTGGAGTATTTTTAAGGGTGCCTGACATGCCAGAGAGATGTATCCCCATTCCAAGCAGCCTGTCACTGAGGATATGGGTGGCCTGGCTAGGATTTATACAGTTCTTAAGAAGTGTGATTGGCCAATGTTGCCAGTTTCTTATCAGAAACATAGAAAGGTATGATGTCACTTCCAGATTTTCTCTGGAAGTGATGTCATGCTGTCACACGGTGGCTCTCCTGGACTCCTACCAGCCACAGGATGGCAATCTTAGTGATTGGCTGAAGACTTGATTCAGCAAATTTGAGGTATGATGGAAGCTGCAGTGGGGGGAATTTCCCCTACACTCCCAGGGAGTTCAGTTGGAAAATTTAAACTTATATTAGGGGTTTTGGTAACCATTATTTAATTTAGAATTGTGTATGTCTCCCCACCTGGTTAGATTTCCTGGTCAGTGAGAGGACAAATGCTGCAGGAATATTGTAGCTAACTATCTGTTGCTTTGATGGTTCTGGGAGCCTGATGAGAGAAAAGCACATGCTGATTTATTTATTTTTTGCATTATTAGTTGATCCAAACTGCATCCTTCACTTTATTGCTGGTGGGAGGTTGAATTTGTATTTCCTGCATGTAAACTGTATCAGATCTGCTTTGTCTACCAAAGCAGCAAAACAGATCAAACTATTTTATAGATGGTCGATTGCCTCCTTTTACAGCAGTGGAAATGGGGGGGGGGGACCTCATTAATCTAAACCAAAAAGGAAACATGAAACATTATAGCAAAGCTTCCTTTGTTCTATTTGTTTTCAAGCATCAGTAATTCCTTACTCCTAAAGAAATTAACTGTTCTGGAAAGCAGCCCTTCTGTTACATCCACATGATTCAGTGGTTTTGATAAGTCTGAAATGTTCCCTCTCATCTTGGGATCGCCAGTGTTTGTGCTTCTATATTTAAAGCAAAGGAAGAAACGGAATTTTAAACAGCAATGGAGAATTAAAATGACTTGCTATGGCAAGCATGCATCAATTTAGTGGTTACTACTTGCTGTTTACAATTGACAATCTCAAAAATGACTGGTTTGATGCACCAAAAGAATACCTATGTGCTTTGCCAACAATTCAGTTTCTGAAATCCTACAAGATCTGCCACAAAACCACCAGTGTAGATATTTAGGGTGGTGCAAAGACAAGTGAGAAGAAGAGAAGAGAAGCTGACATTATATCTCATCAAGCTGGCCTCTTTTGCTTTCAAAGGTCAGCTCAGCATTCTTGGGAAGAAGTGCAGATTTGTCATATAAATTGGTTCCCAATCCCTCTCACCCCTTCCAAAGTCCCTTCAGAGTGGTCTGAAGGATCCCATGAACTTCCTTCCTGTCCCATCACAACAACAAACACGGACATAACTGTTTATAGTGACCCTGCAGAGAGAACTATAAGGTCTTTGATGCCAGGGGCAAACCTTAAGTATTATAAGTACTTCTTTTGAGCCTGCCTAAGAGGGAATATGATATCTTTCACACCTTCTTTCTGCTGTGTGCCACAGTTTTTTGTTTGTTGCTCAATGTGCAATTCTCCATGTTTTCTGTGTGTCCTGAATTTCTGTTGCATGTCCATGAAATGGGAAAAAGTGTTTGGTTTCCTTTACTTCCTTGGTGCATGAAATGACTGATCATAGCGTATTATTGAACCTTTTTTGTCCCAACGGCTATTCTTTGTTTTTGCTTTACTTCTTTCCTTGCTATTCCATCTCAGGACCAAGCACCACCTGCCAAGAAGATTCCTGTGCCAACCAAGGCATCTGCATCCAGCTGTGGGAAGGCTTCACTTGTGACTGTAATATGACATCATACTCTGGGAGTCAGTGCAATGACCGTGAGTACCAGCTATTCTTAACTCGAATTTTAGATGGTATGTTAGCTTAACAGGTGTTTGAATGCTAATGGCAGAGCTAGCTGATCATCTTCCTGGGAAACTAACTTTAAAAGCAAGATTACTTGAAGAAAGAGGATGATAATTATTTTCTCTTTGATCTGATATGAAAGTGCTTGAGTGCATTCTGTTTTCATATTTAACAACAAATGACATGAAAAGGGATTATTGATGTTCTTTTTATAGCAACCAGAAGGAACTGTGTGTGCTAGACAATAATCAGAGCTGTGCTACACCAACTAGTCACCTTTTAAAGTTTTCCAGCTGCAGAATCCAGTTCCTAATCAGCCTTGCCTAAATGGATACAAAAGATGGAAAAGTTTTCAGAGAAACCTATATGATGTTAATAGTGATTTATTCATGATGGGTGTCTTTGTGCTAAGGTTGGGAGAGTTTGGCCAGTTCTCACATTCATTTTGACTTAGCACACTCATCACGCTGTGACTTCCTGTTTTTTTTTTAAAAAAAATGATATAAAGCTCCTCTGACTGCCTTTCTGTGATGAGATTGGATGCTCACTACATCTTGAAGGTGCATTTAAAACTAGACTTAACCCCATAGACTTCACTTTAGGAAGCTCCACTAAGAAGATGCGTTCTTTGACTAAAAACAATAGCCACAAGTCACCCTGTGTTGACTTTTTCACATCAAAGTTTAATGTGGGCCGTGTCAGGCCATAAACCTAAATAGAAGTCTAATTAGGGAATGCTTAGACAGTATACCTGGAGATCTGGAATCACACTTCAACAGTTCATTTCTCAGGCATGAAGTAGCTAGTGGAAGAAAGGTAACTAACCCTTGTCTTATCAGCTACTTTTATTCTGCAAGCCCTCTCCTCAGCCCATCTGAGGTTCTGAGATGAATTAGTTGGTTAAGGGGGGGAAGTGGCTTTAGAGATGAGGAGCAGGGGGGAAATAGGACAGAGAAAAAGAAGAAGGATAAGAAGAGTTGTTTTGTATACCCTCCTTTTCTCTACCTTAAGGAGTCTCAAAGTGGCTTATAATCACATCCCATTCTTTTCCACACAGCAGTCACCTTGTGAGGTAGGTGAGGCTGAGAGAATTCTGAGAGAACTGTGACTGGCCCAAGGTCATCCAGCAGGCTTCATATGGAGGAGGAGTGGGGAATCAAACCTGGTTCTCTAGATTAGAGTCCACCACTCCACCATTTAAGCACCTCCTTGTGCTTTCCTACTGCAAATAGCCCCTCCTTCTCAAAAAACAAGGATCAAGAAGACGTGGGGGAAATCGAGGGAGCTGCGGGTCAAAATGCTACCGCACAACAAATAGTGTGAAATTGACCAATGCAAGTGGGAGAAACAGAAGAGTGAGGATGGCACAGCTGCTTGTGGGGAATCGGTCTAGATTAGAGTCCACTGCTTTTAACAACCTCACCATTTAAGCACCTCCTTGTGCTTTACTACTGCAAATAGCCCCTCTGCTGGTACTTCCCATGTTAATGGCAAACAAGGAGCTGGGAATCCTATGATTGTCACTGACTATGTCAGTCCACCATAAGAGAAAGGGCTAAGTGTGAGCTATAAATTATCCCTGCTTTTCAAAAAGGGGACCCGTTACATTTCCAGTGCTTGTGTTTATTTCTGACAAGGCAATGAAGTGATACCTCTATCCCACATCAGTATAGAAATCTTCCATTTGATAGGGCATTCATAAGGTGAGATTTAGTATTTACCCTATCAGGGAGAACTTTGACTTTCCAATGGAAGGTTATCTCAGGATGACTTTACTAAGGTCAAAAGGGCATCTGAGAATGAAAGTTTCAAGACATTCCAGAGTCTTGCAAGATACAGCTATTTCTTGTTGCTCACCATTCAGACTCCATGTATGGGATCAGATGTTTGAATGCTTTCCCCAAAGAATATCCCTTGACATAGAAGATAGATTCAGATTTATTTATTTTATTATTATTTATTTATCCCTTGACATAGAAGATAGATTCAGATGAGTAGCCGTGTTAGTTTGAAGCAGCAGAACAAAGTTGTAGTCCAGTGATACCTTTAAGACCAACCAGGTTTAATTTTGGGTATAAGCATCTGTGGGCATACCCATGAAAGTTTATACCCAGGATTAAGCCTGGTTGGTCTTAAAGGTGCCACTGGACTCAAACTTTGTTCCTCCATATAGAAAACAGACATATCAGGGAGACTCCCAGCCTATTTTCTATGCACCAGCAAATTTTATCACAGGGGAGGAATTAGGAGGGCAACCTGCCACATGCACTGTCAGAATGCCACCATCAAGGATGCACTGCAGAAATGAGATTTGCTGCATAGGCTGTTAAGCAAATTCTGAAAACCAGCCTAAGTGCAACGGAGACAGAAGTGCATCAGAGAGCACACAAGTAACCTTGCCATTTCCCCACAAGTTCACAACTCTGTCAAAGCTACTAAACATACCCTGAGATATGTCTGATGGCAGCTGCCTTTGCTGTCTCTGTCCTCTTTCTTCCACTTCCTTTTTTGTAGGCTCTCTTGTGTCCCCTTGCTGGGCACTTATCAGTCCCCCTAATGCCTTTCTGTGTGCATGCTTCTTTACCATTAATATCACACCTGGCAAATCATATTATGAAGCAACCGTACAGGAAACTCTGGAGGGGCTGTATTTAAATGAGTCCTGCCGAGAACTCTAAAGGAGTTCTTGATCCTGTATTCTCCCTTGCTCCCAATAAATTGGGCCTCATAATTCCAAACTACTGTGAATCCCATAATATACCAACATTAACAAATTCAGACAAGTTCAAAGTGTTAAAAAACCATTTTTGGAGTCTGTAAGCAGATATTCCTTTTTCCTTAGATGTAAAAAGACATCCAAGTGCTAACAAATTGATGTGAGAGCTGGACTGCATGCAGTGTTTCAGACCTGCACCCTAACACCCATATCTTGCATGCATTCACCACACATAAAGGGCATGCTTACCTGTTTTTATGAAAAAAAGTGTGGAAAAGATGCACAGAGAAATTAACAGGAGAAGTGTACAACCCACCTGAAGCATCTCTGCTGTGAAATGGGCAGCTGCAATGGCTGTCCTAAAACAATGTTTGCATCGCAGCGCTGGGTTTGCGGCAAGGCCTGTATATATATATGTCAAAAGTAGCTCTCACTCCTACAAGGAAACCACTGGTGATTCAGAAATGGTCATATGAAGATGTCTTCAGAAATGAGCGGCAAAGGTAAGTCCTGCAAACCGCTCTCAACCCACCCAGCTAGGATCTGCAAAAGGTAGGTTGCTGGATTTTTGTGTTACATTTGAAAATCTTTGCTTAGGACTGGGCTATGAAGTAGCAATTTTTGATGCCTATCACAGTTTAAGGCCGTACAGTGTAGGTGCAGACAGTGTCTCAGTAAGGTTGCACAAGTTTCTGGCTGTCCACTGTGCTCCGTATGCTAAGAGAGCCTCCTTATTCAAGCATGGAGGAAATGTTATGCTGATTCAGTCTCACAAAGTGGTTGGCTAGGAGAATAGCCTTCCTTTCAAAGTGTTGGCTCTAACAGTCTGCCACTGTCATCATGGGGTGAACATTATATTTGTGCATGTCTGTTAGGATGGTGCAATGTAGTAAGAAACTTTGTTATTGCAGAAATGGACTGCAGTGCACTGATAGAACTAACCATAGTAATCTTTGATATCTTCTATCACTGATGTATCACTGATGTATCACTGATATTTTTGCCTCTGCTTATTTTAGACTTTTGTATATTATACTAAGAGTACTAGCCAGATGGAGGCTTGTTTCCACGTTACATTCTTTGTCTTTCTTTTGTTCCACTCCTAGGAACGATCTACTCTTGTGGTACTATTTTAGCAGCCTCTGTGGTCAGGGAACTTTCAGCTCCTGCTTCTGGTTCCCTGATCCCAAAAAACTGTTGCAGCTGTACCATGTGTGTGTGTGCAGATCCCTTTTCTCACATGGCCAGACTACTTGTGTGAAACTTTTTTTTCTAAAAAAATGATGAAATTAAAAGATAGTGTGCAATCAGCCCTGAGTCCTGAGCTAAAGCTGTAGCTTATCAATGTGGCCTTGGAACACCTTGGCATAATCTGTCCTCCTGCCTTGAATAATACCTGTTTAGAGTGAAGACTAATACCCAGCAATGATTTGTAGCTTTCCTGATAAGAGCAGAGGTATATGTAGCTACTGTGGATGTTTTCTAAATATTTAGTTATGCCATTGATCCATTAAGCATTCTACATTACTTGTTGATGCAAATAAAACTGTTTGGAGACAGGAGTACGCTTGATCCATGCTTTCTCTTCCTATTGAGACCAACCGGATGGCTTAAAAAGAAACCCTTTGTGCCAGAGCTTTGGAGGTCTCTGCCTGTAACCCATCAATCACTCGCAGGACTGTCTAGGGCAAGCAGTCAAACTTTTTCAGACAGATTCCTGATAAAATGGCTGTTATGTCCACCTGTTGGGTATTGATTGGTTTTCTTCATTTTTATTGTCTGTGGGTATGTTCAAATTATAGGTTGTAATGTGGTATTGATCGACATTGTTAAAACAGGTATTTCGTTCAGCCAATGGGAGAAATAAATTGCACTTGTCTTCTGCATGTGAGTTCACATACACACTTCTAGACTGAATTTCATCCTCAAGGACATTGAGGCTTGGTTCAGATATTAACTTTGTGGCATGACTGGCACCTCTCCCTTGTCAGTGTATGTGTAACAGTAATGTTGGAAGTTCTGACACCTGTATGTAATTCCCATGCTAAACCTCACCTTCTACCAGGGCTACTGAGAGTAGAATATGAAGAACTCATTTGAGTTGGGTTGGGTATTCCATGTGAGGCTGAATTTTGTTGCTGAAATATAGGAGCAGCAAGCAAAGATAATATCTAGGTTTCTAAATGTAGCCATGTGGTATTGGAAGAGAAATTTTGGTTGCTAGGCAAAAGGTTAAACTCAAATCCTCAAAGGTGA